CCAGGTAAAATAATTTTGAACCAAAATATAGTCATTTGTATTTGGATTTTGAGATATTCCATATATCTCACTGCCAAATCCTTTCGCAGAACTCTCTTCGACCTAAAATGTAAAAGATATAAATAATTATGACGGGTATTAGAATATATGTAAAAATGCTTTAAGTACCTTATTTACTAGGGATTCAAATGGATTTTGTGAGCCATGTAAACAGCTTAAAGTTACTTCTTTAATTGAATCTCTTACATATACACTATTCCACCAATCATTATGTAACGGATCATTATTCCATATTGCTGAATATACTGGCATAGAACCATTTTTGCTTATTTCTTTAATTTCAAAAAACTGATTATATGGTATCCATTCAAATACTATATCATGATGTTCTTTAATTTTCAATTGAATTTCTTGGATAAAATCATCAACCTTTTCATTACCGCATATCCAGTTTATGAAGTTTATGGAATTATTTTGAACTAAAATATAATCCTTTGTATTTGGATTTTGTGATATTCCATATAATTTTGTATGAACCTTACGCTTATTTATATAATCTGAGACATACTTTTTAATCTAAAATATAAATAAAAAGAAGTTAATAGACTATACTTAGATGTGTATAAGAGACAGATCTGAGACATACTTTTTAATCTAAAATATAAATAAAAAGAAGTTAATAGACTATACTTAAAATTAAAATATTATAATAAATTTATACCTCATTTATTAGGAATTCAATAAGATGTTGAGAATAATATAAACAATTTAAAATAACTTCTTTATTTGTATCTCTTGTATATTTATTCTTTAACCAATTCTTGTGTAATGGACCATCCTTCCATATTGCTGAATATACTGTTACAAAACCATTTTTTCCTATCTCTTTAATTTCATAAAATTGATCATATGGTATCCATTCAAGTACTATATCATGACGGTCTTTAATTTTTAATTGTATTTCTTGAATGAAATCATCAATTTGTTCATTTCCGCTCCAGTTTATAAATTTTTTCTTTAAGTATTTTGAATAATATTTACTATCTTCAGAGACTTTACTGCCTTGAGAAGACATGTTCAATATTAAACAGTCTAATATTTTTTTTCGAATAAAATTTTATTCGTATATGTAGTGCGTTGTTAAATAGGTAACAAGGGATCGTCATTACCCCAAAAAGAAAAGATCTTCGCGTTATTTTGCAAGCCTCCGTGTTGCACATTGCGCAGGGTCCTACTTATTGTTTCATCAATTGTGCTAGGTAGAACGAGTTGATAATTATGAGTTATTATTTTAGATAACAAGGAATGGCGAACACTGAAAAAATTTTTAAGTTTCTGAAGAATGTAAGGATTAGTAGAAATATAAAATTAACCAATTAGATAACAAATATAATACTGCTACAATATATAAAGATTTTGAAAAAAGTTCCTAGTAAAATATACGTTTTTATTTTATAATTGTCACATGCAAAACTGTCCTGGAATATTTTTTTTTTTTTCATTTTGTGAAATTGATCATAGACTATGTGGAAAATAATAAACATTGGAACACTAATATATTTGTGTATTTATCTAACTGGTTAGTCAATAAACATAGTCGTACTATTTATTAGCCAGTACAAACGTTATTCAATGAAGTTTGATGAAAATAGAGTACCAGTGTACAGTAAATTCTTTTATGTTTTATAAAAAATTTAAATAAAGAGACGGGATTTATAACAAAAAGCATAGAACTAATAATTACATTTAATCGCAAATTGTGTGTGATTGGTGCTACTAGGTTTTAGAATAAAGTAAAAGCAATAATATTTTTCTTATTTCAAACAAAATATATAAGAAGCGGAATTCTTTGCTTTTTTTTCCTCCGTTTTTTTGTCATGATCTGCAATGTGTTACAAGCTGTACCTCATTATTTTGTCACATATATGCACTGTGGTGTAAAAATCACGAGTACTACTCTGGGTGCATCAAGGGTTGTACCCGGAATTTTTCATAGACAACCTGCTGACAGAGAAATAGAACCACCCGCTGACGGAGCTGCGGAGTAGCCAGGTAACGTGGGTTCCTGATTGGCGCTTGTACCGTAAAAATTACCTAAAATATTTTCTAGGATAGCAACTCGTTAATTTCCAATTTTATTTGTTTAAATACGGTATATCATCACTAAAATACTTTTGTTCCATATCGACTATAAAATATTTGATATAAATATTTGATATAGAGAAGTTAGATAAGACAGTAATTTTAAAATGTAGGAAATTGTTAAAAATTAAATTTGAGTGACAACAAATAAAAAAATATATTTTGTGTTTCAAACAAACAAATAAAGTCTGTGTACCTGTGTGTTTTGTAACGGTAACTAAGCAGTTGCATTCATACAAGAAAATGAGATATGAAAATAAATATATATACAGTATTACGTATGGTATATACAGTAAATAGTTAAAAAAAAAATCAAATAACAATTAGATTGGCTATGTACGTTCCGGAAAAAAGCTTCGTATTTCATTTCAGTCGTTCCCATCCATGTGATCGGCCGCAGCAGATCATATTCAGATTTACCCAGCGAAATGTCACGAAAAATGACGTGACTTTTTTTATCACATGCGTCACACCCTTCCTTGTTTCCATTTTTCATAAGTATGAGGAGCTAATGAACTCTCTCCCCTTTCCGTTTTTTTTACTAATAATCCGCAGTAAACGTTAATTTTCTCACCAAAAAAACAAAAACTTCGAGGAGTGAGGACCACTTGGTGGCCTCTACGGAAAGGCCTCCTCTTTTTACCCTTGACCTTTGAGAGATATGGATACGGTTAGCATACCCGCTTGTAAGTAATATTACAGCTTCGTCGTCTTTTTCTTCAAATATTTTACAAAATACACCTACTTCACCGAAAAATACTTTCCTTGTCTCTATGAATAAATTTCATGTGATGACCGATCGTCGTACCGGTTATAACAAGATTTACGAATCTAGGCGTTCAAAAAGTTTTCTTTTTGAGCTTGCTGATCTTTTTTCAAACACCAATAATCTTCATTTACTGATCCACACCAATGATTATCATATGAGTTCTAAACCCATTCGATACAACTCCACGAGTGTACTACCAAATTACAAATATCAACTTAGCAAAATGCTTACGCATTTTTTTACTTTACAAAAAGTCCTACCTCGGCGAATTCAGCACAAATACTTTAACCTCATACGTCAGAAATTATTGGACTTAAGTCACGTGCTTCTAACGAGTCCTTGAAAAACACATCAACCAAAACTTTTTTCAACTTCTCTTACAAACGATATCGATTTTATTTTGGTATTTACATCCCCTGTGGCCATTTTTACGCGCCTGGACTTTCTAGAATCACTTCCCGGTGTCGTGGCCTAGCCCATTTGTTATGTCAGACAATCGACGTGCTTGTGGTGCTCATCAACGAGAATTCTTCCATAATTATATCAATAATAATCTTAAATCTCGACCGTCTGAAGAATCAACTTTTATTAACTCAAAATCTTCACACGCTAACCATCTATTTGATCTTTGGCAGTGTGGCTATCATCAAAAAGTTTTTTCTAACCGCCTTGGTCTCACATATACTGCTTGTTTCACGGCCAATGGCACTAATTTCATACGGAAACATCCCAAATGTGTTATGTACAGGAAACATTTTTACGATTTTAAACTCACCCCTAGTGACAATCCTAGAACCAGACGTAAACAAGAGACCCGTTTCAAGCCAAAATGTAATAGGGTTTTCCGTTCTGGTAAATCAGATCTTTTGGATAATATTAACGACAAGCTCGGCGCCGGAAGACGTTATCGCTTCCTTTTCCTCGGATCTCAACATATCCATAAACCTATTCATCACCTTAAATATAAAAATTTCCGGTACAAGTCTTTTCCCGACCATAAAGATTATAGCTATGAAATTCCCTCCTTCTCTCACATTGGTGTTGTCGACTCGAAAGATAATGTGTCGGCTTCGATCTCTAGTAGAATTCTACCAGTTCAACCTACGAAATCTTTACCGGGACCTTCTTCTCCTGTAGTGGTTAATACTATTCCTGAATTTTTATCTGCCGCGGAAATCGCTGCCCTTGGTCCTTCCTTACCACCACTTCCCGAAAATGATTCCCTTTTTCAAAGTGCCCTAGGTTATAATTCCTTTGATCCAACCCGTCTCGGTTGGAGTTATTATTTACAGTACGACCCTGACCATCCAAATTTACCTCCGAAAATATGTGTTCGCGGTCCTGATCCAAACGCCGTGAACGCAGCAGTTGCCAATTATCACGGCACCACTTCAAAACACTCCGAACGACGCTTAATCACAACCAAAAGGATTACAAATTACAACAATACCTTCCATGATCATATGACGTGGGCTTCCAGACCGATACCTACAAACAAATCAAAAAATTGGCGAAGGCTTCGGCGAGAATATCAAGAATTTATGTCAGTACCTTATCAACAGCGGCCGATACCGAGGCATCGGCAAAAATACTTTATTGATATTCCAGATAATTATACCTCAGACGAAACGGAACGCGTTGAATATCGTCCCTTGAAGCGCAACATCATTTCTTATTCTTCTACACCCGCTTCACACCCTCCACACATTAAAAGAATTCGACACACGATCGGTTCTTCATCTGACTCCCCGGTCGCTGGTCAAATGCTAAATGATTTTATTTGTCATTTTATCACTTATATATAGATTTTTACTTTGTAATGAGTCTTTTTTTAAGACAGTTCGTTTTATATTTTTACGTATTTACACATTATCATCAAATTACCCCTTATGTTAGTGTTTATTTGCGTACTTTTCAAAACAATTTAAATAGTGTGAATCATTTCACTTATGACAGTATTGACAAGTGGCGGCTTAAGTGCTGAAAGCAAAATACGGATCTTTTTTTTTTATTAAGGTTGTTTTTTGACAATGCTGGTCATGCCTAGTGTTTGTTTGTAATTAATAGGCAGGACGACTTCTCTAGTGGAGGTTGGGTTCTTTCGTTCAGTCTGGGTTTATTTTCGGTTTTTTTAATCGTCTAGCTCACGTTCTCGGCTCCCGTCTTTGTCTAAATTTTTAAAATAAAATAAAATAAAATAAAATTTTCATAAGTATTTGGGGATAATTTTTTCGAGGTGAAATCCTATTTGTCACACATTATTTGTCACTTAGTTAATTTCTTAGTGACATTTTTGTAGGGTACGCTGGGGTAGTCATCATATCACCGCAGTCTTTTTTTGGATCGAGTTTTCTTTTAATAATTTTCCGGTCACTTTTTTAGACTGAATTTTTTTTTTAATAATATTATTATTTACGGTTTTTTTAAAACCAAGATTTTAATAATATTTTCTTTTCATTTTTTTTTTAAAAAAAAAGTGAATTTTAGTTCTAATTTTTTTCTAATTTTTTTTCCCTTTATAATCTGTACTAATATTTTTTTTCATATAATTCTTTTATTTATTTTTATATATATATTTATTTTATTAACTTATATATGTATAGGTAATTTATTATTTATTTTTCTTTTAGGTTACGTTATTTTTCTGATTTTATAATTTTTTTTTTCTTCGTTCTTTCACCTCTTAGACTTGGATTGGTGATATAATCAAGATAAATATATTTTTTTATTTGAACAAATATGTTTATATGGTTTTTTTTAGTTATAATAAGTATATTTTTTTTACTTAAAATCCAACTATTATCATAATAAATGCAGAAAATAAAAAAATTTTTACCTAAATATATATCTACTGTTATATTGATTTGAACTCATTAACCTTGTTGCAGCACAACAGTTTACACCTAGTAATTTACTGAAATATTATATTGGATTTACAATATATTAGCAACAAATCTACAATTATACTGATAATAACTATTTCAGAATATTTAAGACATAACTTAAAGAAAGTTTATATCAAAAAATTTGGCGACTATTTATTTGTTTCTGACTTATAAAAAGCAATTAAAAATAATAATAATTATAGGAAATATAAATTATTATCAATTTAACAAGAGATCATTTTCATGGGGGAGCTTGGAATGCTTTTAAAAGAACTTTTAAGTGAAAGTTATTGTAAAAAAAAAGTCTTAAATTTATAAATATGCAAATTGCTGACCTCTCTTTTATTAATAAGCTTCGTTAAAATAAATAAATTTTTAAATCTAACTTTTTCTTAAATAAAATGAATAAACAAATGATGTTTTCTATTTATAATGAGTAAATTAAGTATTGAGAAATGGCGGATTTCGGTTTATTATAAGTTAAAATAGTAAAATAGTAAAAATTTAAGGGAATTGCTGAACGTCGCCAGTCGTCGCCTGGGTTTTTTTTTCAAATATGTCACATGATGTACAATATATTGAGTAAATTTCTGACAGTAACTACTAATTTTTGATCGGCTAAACTTAAAATTTTATCACAAAAGATATTTTAAAAAAATTTTTTTGCAACCATATTTATTCAAAATAATCTTATCTAATGAAATTTTATTTGCAAATATTAAAATTTAAGTCACACATTTACGATTTTAAAGAAAAAAATCACTGTATTTTTTAATGAAGTGATACAAATAACATCAGGAAGTTTTTAGGTGGGTCGGTCCATGTAATTCCACGTGGGTTTGCTCAGAAATACGTGGAATTCCACACATTCCCAATATCCTACATGGATCCACACCGAATTTCGTGGACTTATGCCGAAAATACCACGTGTTTCGTCACGAGGTATTCGGAAAATACTGGAACTATTTAGATTTCCACATATTTCCACAGTATTTGATGTGGATTTCCATGTGGATTTTAAACGGAAAAAAATTC